ACACACACACACACACACACACACACACACACACACACACACACACACACACACACTTTATCTTCTTGGTAGAATTAGTCAATGGAAATGGTGATTAGTTAGTGATGTTTGGTGCCCAGATGTTTGGGAACCCATCTTGAGACACTTGAAAGGGGTCTGAATGTCAGAGGCCAGGAGCTCAGCAGCCAGACTTGCTAGTCACTTTCCAGAGTATTAGCCAAAGTACTCCTTGAAATAATGTCAGGCTATGACTAGGGCAATACTAAAACCTTAATAAAATGACATTAATTGCTTAAATATTAAGTATTTAAAATTGCTTGTCACTAATTAATAGCTATTAATTAAACCAGGCACTCTCATGTTGCTTTTCATTATTAGATCTCAAAAGTTCATAGGTTGAGGGATAGCATATTTATAGTAATGTAATTTGTTAGCCTCACCTGCAACTAATGGTTTGATTTGTTGAACAAAAAATAAACATATGGTTTGAGTTTGAAATATTTTTTTGTACCTAGATTTATAGGACTAAAAAACCAATCTGTATTGCACTTGAAAAGTCAGGATTAAGGCCCCAATTCAGCAAAGCACTTCTGTGTGTGCTCACGTCCCTCCCTATTCAGCAAAGCACTTAAACACCCACTTAGGTCCTATTACAAATAATGGCTGATTTAGCATGTACTTTACTGACTTCGTGTGTTAGGGCATGTCTACACTGCAATGAAAAACCCACAGCACTGAGTCTCAGAGCCTGGGTCAATTGAGTCAGGTCCCTGACGCTCAGTTGAGTCAGGTTCATGTGTGGCTAAAAATAGCAGTGTAGATATTTGGGCTCGGGCTGGAACCTGGGCTCTGAGACCCCAGAAGGCAGGAGGGTCTCAGGGCCCAAGTTCCAGCCTGAGTCCAAACATCTACAGTGCAATTTTATAGCCCCACAGCCAGAGCCCTGGGAGCCTGAGGCAACTGACCATATTCATCCCTGGTCTATTCACTTCAGTGGCGCGATCCCAGGGAGGAATAGCTCCGGGTAGGACTATGATTAAGGAGTTTCTGGTGTGGCAGGGGTGGGGGATTGCATGGTATTTGTTTATTTTTGTCCCACTTTATCTTACTCTAGAGGTGGGCCCAAGCTGCAAAATTCAGACCGGGATCTGATTTAACACCCCCTTGACCCAAATTTTAGGGATGCTCCAGTCTGAGATTTTGATTCAGACCCATCTCCACTTAATTTAAAGAAACTGATGGTGTAGCTCTGATAACTATGAGCTCCTTGAATCAAATCACCGATCTTCTACATTGAGGTACATAATGATCAGCTTTATTGGGTGCGTAGGCAGCACTGACTGAACTCCCAAAGTCCAGTTCCAAGGTGTAGTGGGATCAGGATGAAAGCTGGGACGCATCCTCTGGGTGCAGACTCTTCTTTTGTGGTTGTAAAGCAGGAGTGGGCAAACATTTTGGCCTGAGGGTCACATCTGAGTGGGGAAATTGTATGCAGGGCCATGAAAGTAGTGCAGGAGAGAGTGCAGGATGTGGGAGGGAGTGCGGTGTGCAGAATGGGGCTAAGGGCAAGGGGTTGGGGTACAGGTGGGGTGTGGCAGGGAGCTAGGGGCCTCATGGCAGGGGGTTGGCATGCAGGAAGGGTTTGGAGTGCAAGCTCCAGCCCAACGCCACCGGGGTGACAGCAGCGTGCGATAGGACTAAGACAGGCTCCCTGCCTGCCCTGGCCCTGCGCCACTCCCGGAAGTGGCCAGCATGTCCAGCAGTGGCTCCTGGGGGTGGGGCAGGCACACGCTGCCCTTGCCTGAGGGTACCACCCCCGAAGCTCCCATTGGCCGCGGTTCCCCGTTCCCAGTCAATGGGAGCTGCGAGAGGCGGAGCCTGCAGGCGAGGGCAGCGCTCAGAGCCCTCTGCTCCTCCTCTTCCCCAGGGGCTGCAGGGACGTGGTTCCAGCCACTTCCAGGAGCGGCGTGGGGTCAGGGCAGGCAGGGAGCCTGCCTTAGCCCCGCTGCGCCACTGGGCTGGCAATCCCACGGGCCAGATCGAAAGCCTTGATGGGCCGGATCTGGCCCGCGGGCCGTAGTTTGCCCTCCTATGTTGTAAAGTCTTATTCAGGAATATGTAGGGGATCTACTTGGACCACAACAACTGACACTTGTAGAAATTGCTAGTGTGGGGTTAAGAGAGAACAACAAATACTGCAGGTGTTCGGAAAGCACTGGAGACTACACACAAGAACATTTTGACAAATGGCTTCACAGATGCTGGAAAACATAATCAAATAAAAACTGAAGCTGGACTGAACGATGGTACATGCACAGCATTTTAGCAGGTGGGTCTAAATGAAATGGAATCCTACAGGACCCATGGAATTAGATATCTTTATGTCTATGGATTGCTAAGGGAGCTCTTCTCTGCCTTTAGATTGATAAGAATGGTTCAGTTGTGAAGAAATGTACTTCAGACTCGAGGCTTCATTCTGATCTCGTATACACTGGCACAAGGCCCCGATTCAGGAACGCATCCCGTTGCAGTCAATGGAACTTAAGCCTATGCTAGAAGTTATTTGCTTAAATGCTGTCCTGTTTAGGGGATAGATGTAAGCACATGCTTAAGTGCTTTTCCATTGGAATCAATGGAGTGGGAGCAGCGTAAATGGGGTCTAATTAAGTTCACAACCAAGCCCATGGTAATGAGACAATCTCATGAAGAAGCCATTTTACAACCACATTGCTATTACCGTGACTGGTGCTCTCTGACTATGATAGACAGAAAGGAGAATGTGAAAGGCTGTGGGGCAGAGGGACAGATTTCTAAGATTTCTAATGGGAACATAGCCCCTAAAAGAACACAGCACACAGTAATGCAGAACAGTTGATGTCATAGGCTGTCTCAGCAACACATCCAGCAGCAACATTAAGCGAGCCCCTTTGCACAATCTGTAAACTGTATGTTGTATATTTCATGGCACAAACAGCAAGAAATATGTTAAACTCCACATTTCATGAGAGAAACAGGAACTGCCAAAATTACACAGAGCCAATTAAGGGTTTATAGAAATGTCTGAAACTCACCGCAGTGAAAGAGTTGAAGAGATAGTACAGTGCCCAGGCAATGATGACAATGTAATAGACATTCAGCCAGAACGAGAGAACCACAGCGGCCAGGCCCACTCCTAGGAGAGAAGAAACAGAGCATGCTCAACACAAGCCATCCAAAGTCTATGGAGTTGTATTGAGCAGATGGATACGAGCCTCCTGTGCTGAAGTGGGGACGGCAAGTCAAGAAGTGACTGCACAGAGGAGAGGTGAAGGTTTGTACACCTAGGAAATGTGAATCATCTCACAGAGATCAGTATGTGACAATGCACGGTGCCTCAAGTTCACTGATCAGCCAATGAAGGCTTGTTCGGATGTTATGCCTCTCTCCCATGTTTCAAAGATTGAATGGTGGTGTCTTTCAGTACCCTGCTAGCAGAGTTGTATGTGTGGAGCTCTATGAAAACCAAAGAGGGGGAACCAGCTGTGTCTCTGCCTGCTCCTGTAGTTGAATTAGTCTCTCTTAATAAAAACACTTATTTTAATTCATCACTAGCCTCTCGTATGTTGTTACTGAACACAACAACAACAGGTTTACACCCAACTGGGGGAGAGCCAACCTTTTAGTGTACAGTAAACAGGGTTCTGCTGGTACAGAGCAGCACTGCCCTCCCCACCAACTTCCTGCATCTCATTTTAAGTACAATCCTGATGTGCCAGGTGGCTCCGTTCAGTCGTTTGCCTCCATCAAGGCAGTGTTGTCTACCTGAGTGTTTTGTCACTATCAAAGGTCATTCAAACAGAGAGCTGGAGTGTTACTGATGCCTAGACACCAGGGCCGGCTCCAGACACCAGCCCACCAAGCTTGTGCTTGGGGCGGCACCTGGAGGGGGGCGGCGCAGTGCTCCAGCTCCGGCCGCCAGGGAGAGCGGAACCCCGGCTGGGCGCTCTGGCCGCCGGGGAGAGCGGAGCCCCGGCTGGGCTCTCCAGCCTCCCCCCGGCACTCTGGCCGCCGGGGAGAGCGGAGCCGCGGCGGGCTCTCCGCCCTCCTCCTGGCGCTCTGGCCGCCGGGGAGAGCGGAGCTGCGGTGGGCTCGCCGCCCTCCCCCCCGGCGCTCTGGCCGCCAGGGAGAGTGGAGCCGCGGCGGGCTTATCGCCCTCTTCCCGGCGCTC